AGTTGAACACAAATCAATATTTTATTATTCTATCATCTTCATTGCAAATTAAAAATGATAAAATGCTTTGTTCTTACCTCCATTCTCTAGGGAATGGAGATAGTGAACATAGTCCATGTCCCGAACCTGTTAGAAATTGGAGAGCATATATTTAGAAACTCACACACATAAGTGAAAAGTGAAGGAAACTTATAAGAATTCTTATTATCACTTGAACTCCACTTCCATCGAATGGCTACAATACATAGGGTATTTATAGGTGCTAAACTGAAATTCGATACATTCACCTATCTAAGTTCATGCTTAAAATCAAAAGACACATTCATGTATTGCCCCATATTCATGAATAGAAACTTCTAGGATTTTCATGAATTTAGTTTATTTTTCCAACATNGAAACTTCTAGGATTTTCATGAATTTAGTTTATTTTTTCAACATCCCCCCTCAAACTAGATTCATTACTCCAAGTAAAAACTGCAACTTTTGAAAAATATCAAACTTTAAGGGTTTCTTGAAAATATCCGCAATCTGGTCTTGAGACTTCACGAATTCAAGCTTCATTTCTTCCTCGGATATGGAATCTCGAATAAAATGATACTTTGTATTAATATGCTTGCTTCTATCATGAAACACCGGGTTTTTGGCCAATGCTATAGTGGACTTATTATCAATATAAATCTTCATCGAACCTTCTTGTGGTAAATGAAGTTCCTTCAACAAACTTCTCAACCAAATAGCATGACACGCACAAGAAGTAGCCGCAACATATTCCGCTTCACATGTTGAAAGAGTCACAATAGGTTGGTTCTTAGAATTCCAAGTAAATGCCAAATTTCCCATAAAGAAAACAAACCCAATAGTACTTTTCCGACTACCAATATCACCGGCCCAATCGCTATCACAATAGCCAACAAGCTTAAAGTCATGGGAAGATGTATCAAAAATTACATACTCAATCGTATCTTTAACGTACCGAAGTATCCTTTTGGCTACCTTCAAATGTGATTTAGTAAGAGCTTCCATGTGTCGATTCACAAGTCCAACGCCAAATAGAATATCGGGGTCTTGTACATGTTAAATACCTGAAACTTCCAACAAGACTTTTAAAGAATGTGGGATTAATTTTCTCGCCATCTGCATGCAAAGATAATTTGACCCCACATTCCACGGGGGTGCTAACCAGCTTACATTTCTCCATCTCAAATTTCTTTAGAACTTCTTTTGCATATCCTTCTTGAGAGATAAATATGCCATCATTCCTCTGTTTTACTTCAATGCCAAGATAATAGTACATTAATCCAATGTCCGTCATCTCAAACTCCATTTTCATAGCTCTCTTGAAATCATCAAACATCTTTGGATTGTTTCCTGTGAAAATCAAGTCATCCACATACAAGCAAGCAAGTAACACATCACCATTTTTATTTAGCTTTACATAGAGTGTATGTTCATGTGGACACTTCAAAAAACCATTTGTTTGAAAATACTTATCAATTCTATTATTCCAAGCACGAGGGGCTTGTTTTAAACGGTAGAGAGCCTTCTTCAACTTCAAAACTGTATCTTCATGTCCTTTAACTACATAACCCATTGGTTGATCGACATATACTTCTTCATCCAAAAATCCATTCAAAAAAGAGGATTTCACATCCATTTGATGAATTTTCCAATGATTTTGGGCTACCAAGGAAATAATCAATTGAATGGTTTCTAAGTGAGCAACAGGAGCAAACACCTCATCATAATCAATCCCAACTTTTTGCTTATACGCTTTAGCAACCAATCTCGTTTTATACTTCTCTATCTCACCCTTCGCATTTTTCTTTATTTTATACACCCATTTCACACCAATTGTGTTCTTACCTTTAGATAGTGATGCTAACACCCATGTATCATTCTTCTCGAATGCTTTGATTTCTTCATCCATGGCGGCTCTCCATTTTTCATCACAAGCGGCATCATCATACCTATAGGCTCAGTTTCTACAAATAAACAAAATTGAGTAAATTCACCTAATGTCGGTACCTCTTCAGTTATTTCATAAACTTTTAATTTTCTGAGGCCTTTCACCAGAACTTGCATCATCAACTTGTTGATTTTATGGTGGAGGTGTTGGTGGTGGAGTATTAGGTTGCACCAAATCTTTTTCATCAAAGAATTGACTGAACTTGTAATCTTCTTCTTGAAGATTCCATTCCCAAGCACTTTCTTCATCAAATTCAACATCTCTACTAATAATAATTTTTTCGCTGCTTGGATTGTATAGTTTATAACTTCTGGAATTTTGATCATAACCAATGAAAACATATCTTGCACTTTTATCATCAAGTTTGATCCTTTTTTCATTCAGAATATGCGTGTAAGCTATGCTCCCAAAAACTCGCAAGTGAGCAACACTTGGCTTGTAGCCACTCTAAGCTTCTTGTGGTGTCCTGCCGTCAACACTTTTAATGTGGCATCGGTTTGTCAAATAAACCATACAACTAACGGCTTCGGCCCAATACTCCTTCGTCATGCTTTTGCTCTTCAACATGCTTCTCGCCATGTTAAGAATAGTCCGGTTCTTTCTTTCGACTACTTCATTTTGTTATGGTGAATATAGAGTTGTCATGGGGCGATGAATGCCATTTTTCTCACAAAACTCCTTGAATGCATTTGAGGTGAACTCACCACCTCTATCGGACCGAAGAGCTTTAATATGGTAGCCACTTTGTTTCTCCACAATTGTCTTGAATTTTTTTGAAAGTTTCAAATACCTTCGATTTTTCCTTGAAGAAATACACCTAAGTTTTGCGAGAATAATCATTAATGAAAAGTACAAAATAATTTTTCTTACCACATCCGAGTGAATCAACCCCAATAGATGTTGAGCTCTTGTCATAGACTCTTTTGAAAAACTCTTTCTTGCTTGTTTGCCAAAAAGACATCCTTCACAAAGTTGGTTTGAAAGGTTTATGGAGGGTAATCCTTTCACCATTCTTTCTTTGCTCATTAATTTTAGGCCATCAAAATTCAAATGTCCGAGCCTCATATGTCATAACCAAGATGATTCTTTAAAATAGACTTCAAACACATAGGGACGTCACTTTGAATATTCAACAAAAACATTCTATTCTTTGTCATGGGTACCTTGGCTAGCAGCCTTCCATATTCATCTTTCATAGTCAAACTTCTATTTTTTAAGTGTATGTCATAATTTTTCTCCAAAAGTTGTCCCAAACTTAAAATGTTACTTTTCATATTCGGCACATAAAAAACATTAGAAACAAATTGATGGCTTCCATCTTTCAATAGAATCAAAATCGTACCTTTCCCTTTCACTTGGACTTTTGAAGAGTCTCCAAAAGTGATGTTGCCGCCAAGAGATTCATCCAACTCCACGAATAAGTTTCTTTTACTGCTAATATGACAACTTGCACCGAAATCAAGGTACCACATATTATTTTCCTCGAGTTCATTACTTTTGCGAGCAAGAAGCAAAGTAGGATCTCCTTCGTCTTTATGGCTCTCCACAAGGTTGCTTTTTTCCTCCACATCATTGGAGCATTGCCAAGAATAATGGCCAAATCGATGACAATTGAAACATTCAATATTTGATTTATCATACCTCCCTTGATTTATTCTTCCTCCACGGCCTCTTCCTTGGTTGAAGTTTTAGCATTTTTCATCATTATTTTGAAAATAATTGTCTCCTCGACCTCCTCGTCCACCTTATCCGCGACCACGTCCTTGTCTTTGAAATCGACCTTCTCCATGTCCTCGGCCTCTTTGGGACGTGCCATGATGTGTCTCCTTATCTTTCAAAGACAGTTTTACTTTCAAAACTTGATTTACTGATTCTTGAACCGGTTTCTTCAATCTTTCTTCATTGGCTTGCAAAGAGTCGGCAAGCTCTTCAATGGTCATGGTTCCAAATCTTTGGACTCTTCAATGGGGACTGCAACATAGTTAAATTTTGGATCTAAAGATCGTAAAATTTTTCCAACAACACGATCATCTTTTAAGTCATCTCGGTTCCCATGCTTCATAGGCTCCAAGCAAAGCCTTCATTCGAATGCACCAATTACCATAATTTTCTTTGGTAAGCAATGGAACTTGGAATGGTGCTATATTCGACATCTTTTTTTTTTTATTATCTCCAAATAGAAGTGGCTCTGATACCAATTTGTTAGAAATTGGAGAGCATATATTTAGAAACTCACACACATAAGTGAAAAGTGAAGGAAACTTATAAGAATTCTTATTATCACTTGAACTCCACAATTGTCGAATGGCTACTATACATAGGGTAATAATAGGTGCTAAACTGAAATTCCATACATTCACCTATCTAAGTTAACTCTTATATTTTTATCTTTTAATTAGTAAATTGAACGATAAATGGAGATATTTTAATTATGTCTGCCTTCCAAAAATTCTCGACGGAACTAGGACATGAAGGACTATCTCGACCCTTTCTATTACCATTCTGATAGCTAAACCTACTGATATCTGAAGTATTCAAGGCTGGCACATTTAAATTTAAATAATGTAAAATCTGAAAGATAATTTATTGAACAAGTTTAGGTGTAAAAATTAATAAGCTTGAGAGAGTGCAAAGGAACAGGAAGCAGTGGTAACATCTGGTTTGGTAGTTCCCAAAGGGCAATTTTGGAATACGAAAATGTTAATGGAAACATTAATAAAAGCAGTACGCACAGAGACAGCAAAGGAACAAACGAAGTGTTTTGCACAATGGGAAGTGGATGCAATGCAAATGCTTTCCCTCTCTTAAATTTTCCACCACCTTATACATACATACATACAAACATACATACATACATACATATCTCTCTCATCAATCACTTTTTATTTACTTTTTTCTGTATTCAATTCTTTTACAGCATTTCACTTTTCTTTCTTGACAAACCAAGACTGGTTTTTTCGATCTTACCGTCTAGTCATTTGGTGAAAACCCACTTGGATTTTGAGAGAAAATTTTGGGAAGTAAAACTTTAGAAATGGCTGATCCAAAACCCGAGGAAATAAGTCATCATCCAATGGACCAACTTCAAGGCTTAGAGTATTGTATTGATTCTAATCCTTCTTGTGGTATGTTTATTTTCTATTTAATAGTGTATATTTTTTTTTCTTTTTTGGGTTTTTGAGTCTTCAAATGGGGTTTGCTGAGTTTTTGGCTGTGAAAACAGTGGAGGCAATAGCATTGGGATTTCAACACTATGTTTTGGCACTAGGGACATATGTGATGATTCCTTCCTTTCTTGTTCCTTTGATGGGTGGAACTGATGTGAGTTAATTATATTTTCTTATACTTATGTAATTTGATTCTAAAATATTGTTGATTAAGAAAAAAGACTTGTTTAGTTATTCTTAATTCTTATTTAAAGTCATGTACATTCTAAAAATCTACATCTTTAATCAATAGATTCACTCAAGCAGCGTAAATTTCAATGTTAAGAAGCTAATGGTGTTGATTAATTCTTACATTCTTGTTTTTTTTGGGGTTTGTTTTATGGTTGTAATTAGGGTGATAAAGTGAGGGTAGTGCAGACTCTGCTCTTTGTTGAAGGAATAAACACACCGCTACAAATGCTATTTGGAACAAGATTGCCAACAGTTATTGGAGGTTCATGGGCATTCATGGTGTCTATAATTTCAATAATTCACGATTCATCCTTGGAAAGAATCCCCGGCCCTCATGTCGTAAGTCCTGCATTATTGTGTACATTCTTAGTTCAATCTTTTTGAGGTAGAAACAGTTGATGTCATACAATTTTACAATGAATCTCTTGCTATTTTAATGAACTCTTGACATTCATTGACTAGTAAGTTGGAATGGTATATTTTCCATTTGTGCATTCTACAACATTAAATTGACAGTGTAAATGAACTTTTTATAGTACTCTAATTATGGCATTCTTTGAGCTTTTTTCACTAATTTCCCCGAATATTGTTACATGGTTTCCCAAATTAGAATCAATGGGTAAATAGTATTAGACCATAATCACAGCACAGACATCTTTTTCTTCCTTAATATCGTCTAGCATTGTGTAATCCACCAATACAAAAGATGGCAAATATATTTATTAGTATCCCCCAAAATGGGACAAGGATGAAATGAGCACCTCCTGATTACATTTCCTTTTTCCTAATAGCTGTAGTTAAGAGGATACTTGTTAAGGTTGAAATCACTTTAAGAAGGGTAAAAATCATTCTTGGTTTATGTTGAGAATATAGCAACATATCTCATAAGAGTTTAGAATATATAAATATAAAATTATGATTAACGGTTATGTTTCTTCACACTTGTTTATCTAATGCTAGAACACTGATGATGTATTGTTTCCAACTTTTAGAGATTTGTTAGTACGATACGTGCAATACAGGGTGCACTCATAGTAGCATCAAGTGTGCAGATTATTATGTAATATAGTCAACATTGGGCTATTTGTTCCAAGTTCATGTTTTACTTTTTTTTAATATTATAGAAAAGTAACATTATGGCCCTTGAGAATTGTATAAAAAGTTTCTTGTATTTTCAAGTTTTTCAGTCCACTCGAAATGGCTCCAGTAATTGTACTAGTGGGTTTTGGTCTACTTGATAGAGGATTCCCTTTGGTAAATGCTGAACACAATTGCTTTTAATTGATTTATATGCTTTTTTTTTTTTTTTGCGTTAACTGCCTCCCTTAATTGCACATTGTTATCTGTATGCGCTTTGATCAGGTTAGGTGATGTGTGGAGATTGGCATTCCAATGCTCATCTTATTTGTTGCCTTCTCTCAGGTTTCGTGATCTTTGTGTAATCTTTGTATCTTTAAAATTTTGTTTTTAGGCATAAATGGAATCTACAATTTGCTTTAGTTAACGAGTTCATGCATTGCTAATACTCAATGCACTTGGATAATGGTTGAGAACAGAAGAAAAAAAAGTCTTCTCTTTTCCTCTAGAATCTCATATTCATACTTCCATAACGAAGCCATACAAAATTAACAGTAAAAATATTTATCTAATATCTTATTTTGTTGCACAGTACATAAAGCACTTCCAATTGAAACAACTACTCGTATTGGAGAGATTTACTTTTCTTATCTCAGTTATAGTTATCTGGGCTTACGCACACCTCCTTACAACCAGTGGTGCATACAAGCATCATCCAGAATTAAATTAAAAGAATTGTCGGACTGATAAAGCAAACCTCATCTCGACTGCACCATGGTTGGTTCAATTTCACTTTTTGTGTTGTGAATCAATGTCAAAAGCAAATTGTGTATCCAACAGAATTAAAAACATTCTCACACAATCTTAATCGCCTTGAAATACCATTTCCAATAGGATCAAAATCCCATACGTTCTTGAGTGGGGTGCACCTACCTTCGATGCTGGACATGCATTCGGCATGATAGTTGCCGTACTAGTCTCCATGATTGAGGTAAAACCTAAAGCATTTTTGGAAATTTCAGACTTACCAAATGTCTCAATACTTTCAACTGAATTTTTTTTGCTGAAGTCAACTGGAGCATATTTCCGTCGTAGAGCTAATCGTTCACATACCCCTCCTCCTGCTCATGTGCTTAGCCATGGAATTGGCTAGTAGGTCTGTAAAAGAAAAAAAAGTAGATTTTTCCCACCAAACAAGTTTTATATTGACTGACATAATTTCAAGAACCTTTAGTAAATTTTATATATGATTTAAAATCAACAAGTAAATCGAAAACAACTTAGCAGGATAGACACATCTTTTTGAAAGTTCTAAGTTGAAGAATTGCTTGTAGCTTGGAGTTTGATGTGAAGTTACTATATATATTTCACTTTGACTCTATTTTACATAAAACATATAAAATCTTCTCTTATTTATAGGGCATTGGGATTCTTTTAGATGGACTATTTGGAATAGTTACTGGACCTACCGTTTCTGTGTAAGTGTAAAAGTTTACGTTAGTTTTGCATTAATTTTCTTTGATGATTGCTTACTTAACAACCTTCACAACCACAGGGAAAATATTGGTCTTCTTGGAAGCACTCGCGTTGGCAGCCGCAGTTAATCCAGATTTTTGCTGGATTCATGATCTTCTTCTCAATGTTAGGTATTTATATGACCAAATCTCTCAAGGAAACTGTATTTTTCACTTTCTTCTCACTCAAAATTTTGTCCTCAAAACACGTGCAGGAAAATTTGGAGCATTGTTTGCATCAATACCTTTCACAATCTTTGCAGCCGTGTATTGCGTNTTCACTTAATTGTTTTCCACTATTTCCAGCTTCTATAGGTTTATCGTTCTTGCAATTCACAAACATGAACTCATTGAGAAACCTCTTCATCACTGGTGTTTCTTTTTTCCTAGGCCTATCTATCCCCGAGTATTTCAGGGAATATACCACGCTGCTCTTCGAAGTCCTGCACACACAAAAGCTGGATGGGCGAGTTGCTCAACTTTTACATAAAAGCATTGATGAATGGATTTTAAGGAAGGACTGTAGAGGATAATTGTTAAGGGACAAATTACACATTTTATAAGGGCTTGGACTACTTATTTTAATAAGGTTAGCCTTTTAAGGTGGTACTCCAAGTTTTAATAATAACGCATTATTTCAATGTTTTTCTCTCATGTTCTCTTAGTGTACAGTTCAATGATTTCCTCAACACAATCCTCTTATCCTCCCCGACTGTTGCCCTACTTGATGCTGTATTCCTGGGCAACACACTTGACATTAAAGACAGTGCTAGAGATTGTGGAATTCCATGGTAGGCCAACTTCAGAACGTTCAAGGGTGATAGTCGGAATGAAGAATTTTACACCCTTCCATTCAGTCTCAATCGGTTTTTCCCTCCATCATGACACAATACATCATTGGTGAAGACAAATCATAAGCTGAAAAAGGATTGTTCTTAATTACTTATTGCTTGTTGCAACCCTATAGTAGAGATAAGATTGAGCTTTGAGTCTGTATGTTTTGATGTGTCCATGAATCGACGGATGCTCTTCTGCCATTATTTTTTCATTTATATAAATCAATTTGGCTTGGGTTACTCAAGTTTAATCCAATAAACAAAGTCATCAATTTCTACTCGTGCAATGTCTGATTCATTTCATAATTTGACAAGAGTTTACCTGGAAGCCTACGAATTAGACAAATAAAACTGGTAACGTGCAAAGTTACGAGTCACTGCTGCATTGAGCAATGGAGAATGCTATTGTTGCATTGATGTGAAGACATACAGTACATATAAGATACCATATGACTGTTGCTATGATCATGAACTGACAGCCAAGAATATATTCTGCACACAATACAATTAGGAAAGCAACTACAAAAAAATGGAATGAGATTAATTATGGTCTATCATGCCCCTGCAAGATCTATCATGCCCCTGCAAGATAGAACTTCCATCAAGGACGCCAATCTTGGGCATGTAATCGTGGAAGAGTCGCAAGCCACTGGTTTTGTTAAGGAGTCTGCAAGTTGATCAATATTTTGTGGACATGAGCAACAGGAAGCTAGCTATTATTTGATCACGGACAAGTGAAATTATAAGGTAACTTGCTTCAAGCGAGAGTGAAACACTACATTTTCACGCAAGTATGTGGCACCTGCGTTGTTGCAATTTATTGTTGGTGTGGATAGAGTTGACATACCAAGTTCTATTAGTAAGTTGGTTAACCGGTTAAGTTCAGATGCAGTGGAAACTATAGCACCATACTTTCGACTTCAATCAAGCAATGAACAATGGTTTTTTGTTTCTTAGAGGGGATCTATTAGAAATTTAAACCTTAGAACCTATTAGAGAAAACCTTATTTATGCAAAGATCCTTGTTTACGAAAATAATTGTTCGTTTTAAATCACCGCAAGTGTACGGTTCGTAACAAGTAATAAAGTGGAGTTGAAAATTCCGGATATCGTACCCACAGAGATTGAATTAATTTGATTCCAATTACCGAAACCTTAACTGAAACTATAAAAAGATGAGAATGTTTGTTTTGATAAATTTATAACTAATCTAATACTAAACATGCAAATATGAATGAATTAATTAACTAAATGCAATTTGGCAATGGATGTAAATTTGAGTTTTTCTAATATGTGATGAATGTACTAGGATCACGAATCCCTATGCAATAATCTTTTTAAACTTAGTTTCACACCTTGACACACGGTTGGAATAAAGAAGAATCAATGCTCCTAAATTATCTAACAATCTCTCTCGAGTAGAGTTAAACCTATTCAAATATGCGACCCGACTATATTTCTATGACGGATGCAAACATACAAGAATGCATGA